GAATGGTAATGATGACGAGTGGTTATACAGCAATCGCTAAATTTGCAGAGCAGAACACAAACCGTTGAGTTCTAAACAACATAATATAATTGCCAATCTTTGCCGGTAAAATGGGGAACTTCGAATTTGCGCGCGCGCGGAATCTAAAAATCGCGCGGGGCGGAACATGCCGTCCGCGCAAAACATGTTGACGGGATCAAATTGCTAAATTCGCGCGCGGGGACACCAAAAAAGGCAAATTTGCGGGGCGGGGTCAAATGTTTGCGGGGCGGGAATAAAAGTGCATCCGGACCGCCATAGGACTTCACCTGGCTCGTGTGAATAGTCATGGGCACCGCTCTGCTCGCGTTGGTCGCAGATACACTGTGAGATATAACAGATGCGCTAGATTTCGCCGAGGTGCTGGGTCCAACCGCCGTGCCTGATTTAGCAGCTGCGCTGGATTTCACGGACGCGCTTGATTTGGCAGAGGCGCTAGACGGAGAGGCCGTATTGGTGACATTCAAACCCGCCACCACTTGACCCTCAGCATTGGGAGGACCATACCACCAGAGGGTTGTCTAAATCTTGATCAATCCCGGTGGAGCAGGCGCAAAATATGTAAATACGAACGACGCCTGTCGATCCGTTAGCTGACCGCCCTTGATTTTCGAGGTTAACACTTACCAACAGGAAATGTATAAGTGGCCTGCATTCCACGAAATTCGATGGTCGCGGTGACGGCCACAGGATTCCATGTTGTTGACGAGCTGTCGTCCCCTTTATGCAGTCAGTCTATGGTTGAATACACTAGCGCGACGAAAATAGAACGCACAATTCATCACGACAAGCGCATACCGGTTCCAGTCCGTAGACGAAAGCCGCTTGGTAGTATACGCACCGACACGGAGCGCCCATCCGAGACTTCCATCCACGGCGACACCGATACGCTGCCCCCATGGACCGCCCGCATCCTTGGGTATAATCGCCTTTGAAGCCTGTGCGAGGGAGTAGACTGGAAGACAAAATCGCTATGAGTAGCCGAGCACAATGCGCAGGTTGAGAATCAAGTTACATACACTCCTGGTTGTACTCATATGACCCGTCACTGTTCACTGTTACGATAGGCCGGCATCCAGATGCGCAGCTGTTGGTTCCGGGGAGTGAGGGTTGGCCGTTGCCGTTGAGGGCGAGGTTAAACATCAGCCCGACCTCCGCAAATTGCTCGAGGCTCCCAATCCAGAGGTTGTCCATATACCACTGCATTTTACAGCTATGAACACACGCTTGCGCCTGAACATCCCCGTACCTTGATATCGGTCCACCAGTCGGAACCAATTGTTCCGCTGCATTCGGTAGAGTATATGTTCTAAGTCGCGAGGTGAGTTGGGCTTCGTCAGCGTGGAGTATTAGCGATAAACCTTGTTGGGGAATGCATTGTGAAATGAAGCGATATCAGTGTACGTCCCCGAATAGCCTGTGGAAGTATTGCTTAGCGGTAGCTATACCGGACTGATGTGTGTTCCTACAATGAAATGCGACGCCGTCGTAAGACCCCCCGTCGTCTTGCATCTGCAACAACATATTGGGAAGCACGTCACCGGGAAATATATATTCAACTGACCAATGTAACAGGATATGCCGCCGCGTCGACCCAGTTATGCTGAACTCGGAGTGAGAATATAAGCACCCGTACCGAATGAGTTTTTCATACCTCGTACCCAACAAGTCTCACGCTTGATAGCCCATTATCGTTCAAAAGCGTCCGGAGCGCTGCGCCGATCTGGCCCTCGACAGCTGCATGACATTCATCCATGGGATGTGCGAAAAGAAAGCCAACGTGAACGTACCTGGTGTCATGGTGCATGTAGGATACGTGGGATTGCTGTTTTCGGGCTCGTTCTGACGTTTGGATTGAGAACAAAGTGAAACGGCAAGAAATGATTTGTACCTGAACCGAAATTGCATAAATAGAAATCCCTTTGTTCTGGAATCCTTGAACGGCCTTCAATAGATACGTGGGATCTGGGTAACGTTTGTTTGTAACATTTGGTATGAGTGAGTGCGAGTGCGGTTCAGAGGAAGAAGTTTACAGGCAGTGATTAGGCTGGACGAGATGGTACCGCCGTTCATGGTTCCCGTGGTCTTAAAGATCTACATTAGGACAATGTGCAACCAAATTGAAAGACAACTCGCCTTCATCCATGCAGGCTATCGCAGTTCGAATCAATGGGTTCGAAAAGTAACGAAGTGGAAACACACCGGACTCCAGGGTAGGATGTGTACCTTCCAGTACATGCACGTCAAGCATCTTTAAAATTGATGCAATGAGGACGCACCTTGAGCGCCGGGTTTATAGATAAGATATCCGTAATCACAGAGAACACATAAGATGGGGCATTGTTGATGTTGAAATGGCTGAATGAAGTATCGCCGCTGACATCGTCAAGACTGTAAACTATGGAAAATCAGCTTCACGGTCCTCAGGATGGATGCGTGTGAAACTGACGATTGGCGGAAAAATCCGACGCCCCGATTGGCACACGCAAGTAGCTGAACCCGGATGCATTGGCGCCATCAGCAACCGAAAACATATGGCCTAGAATGCTCCAGTAATTGGCCCCGTTGGTTGTCTGCGATAATCAAATTGAACGTGTTTATATACCACGCCAAGTCCAACGAACCTTCAGATTATTGAGGGTCAGAGCCGACGAGTCCGCTGGGATCTCATGAGCGGGACAAATAGAATCGCACGCGGAAACTTACTGAGCGAACCTCCGAACCCATTGATGGTTTGGTACACGGTCGTCTCCGTGACAACGATGTCCGCGGATTGAGCCGGTCCGGGGGTGACGAAGTTGATTGGTGTGCTCGGAGCGAGTGATGTGAAAAGCTCCTCGCGATCCCAGATTGTCTGCCACTGCAGCGATGTACGCGCTTATCAGTATCGGGACGGAGCTCACAAGCATGGACGTACGATATCCCAGATCTGCTGCGACGCTACAGGCCGGGCCAGCGTCCAAGCAAGGAAGAGGAGACTTGCACGCATGACAGCAGGGGCACAGCGGGAGGGGGGGAGTAAACACCACACGAACCCGGGACCCAAAAGCGCACTTTATAACTGCTACGGAACTCATTCGACCGTGGCAGCTAGATGAGCGGAATGGGCCCAAATTAGCGGGGACGGCTCATAATTCACTGGGAAAGGAAACATGGAAGGTGGTTCGTTCTGGGTGACTGAGCAATCGTGAGGGTCTCGACCAAATGATCAATATTGCACCGCGTGCAACCAAAACCTGCACTAAAAGAGATCCAGGATTAGAGATAGCGAAGGAAGCGGCAGTATGGGCGCATGGGGACAAACCCAGTCAATTATGCGTCACTGCTCTCGTGAGGCGTATAAGTTCGGGATGGTCAAATTGCGGTCCAATGGCGATCTATTGATAGCGCACCTGTTACCCTCTGACTGCTTGGAATGGTGCAATTTGAGGGCTGAGGGGTACAATAATCCCCTCCGGAATCACAGGAGTCGAGCGTGGTCAAGACAGTTGCCGGTGAACCGGACCTTGGCCCACGTGGATTAAGTGCGGCCAATTGCATTGTGCGCCTGACATCATTGTGCTTACTGAAGGGCCCAATAACGGACCAGAAGAGGACTGCACGGAAGAAAAGATAAACTCATGATGGCGGCAAATGTGGCTCGCCGGGGAATGTCGAACTTGGGTCCCGATAAACCCGAGCGCCCAGCAAAAGTACGTGGCTGGAAATGTCAGGTGGTTGGTATCCAGAAGGTCTGGATTGCGGCTAAGAATGGGAGATTTCCCGGCGATTATGAAAGTGCGCCGGGAATATCCCAGGAAGACAGACACGTCAAACGGCGAAAAACTGCCTAAAACAGACGAGAGAATGAGTGGGCAGTATATGGTCAACGGTGATCTTTCGCCGTTGCCAAGTCGTTTACGGGTGTTTGTCAGGGATCTTCGAGCAACCATGACCACGATTTCTAGTCTGAATGAGAAGCGCCTTGGAGGAGATCAGCTGAATCTGTAGACCGGAAACTGCGGAAAATTGATACGGCATGCTACTAGCGGCTGCCCCCGATGGATGGAGAGAGGTTGCCACATGCTCATTGCTCACCATTCCAGCAGGTCCTCAAGTTGGCATCCCAAGAATACTACTTGCCGTATCGCCGCCACTGGCAGGATGCAGACGATCAACAGACGATAAGTATTTGTGGAGGGCTAGGCCAAATCCAGCCTGTCAATGGACAAATGGGAATTAGGTGCATTTAAGGATGAGAATAGTGACACTTGCTTCTTGTGCCCGAAACCAATTCGCACTGCGCAGCAACAACATGAATGGCACGTCGGAGTCATCAGGTCAAGAGTCGGCGGTGTGACGTGATGTGACATGCACGTGCTTGGTGCCCTTTCGGGCCTCGGCGCAAAGGCTCCGGGGTCCGAACCTGAGGTGGACACGAGATGAAAAACCCGGGGTATCTAACGAATGCAAATCGAACCGGAGGAAGTTCCCCCGTCGGGCTCAACGCCTGGTTCAACGCCATGAATGTTTATTTTTGGTTCATCATTTCGGTTGATTTTCGGATGTTGGTCCTTGGTTGGTCCCATATATACGGACCGGCCTGAAGGCCTGGGATGGCTGATAATGAGAGTTTGTCTGTTGGATTTTTGGTCTTTGACTCAAGACCTAGTGCTGGAGCATTCACATGGCATGCAGGTGTTCGCCCCAAAAAGGAATCCACAGAGTCGAACCTATGACGTTTCGTCACTTTCGTGCTCGTTTTCGAAACGAAAGTAAAAAGCCCTTACATAACGGTACAAGGTGGAAGCGTTGGTCTAATTTGGGTTTCAGGTGTCGCGCAAGGCAGAATTGGGTTCTTGCCTCCACAAAGGCATCTGGCGCAAAGCGATTGAGCACGGCAGGACTCGAACTTGCAGCCTTTTTCATAAGCTCATAGTATCCCGACGTTGCGCCACGGCAACAGAAAACTCTCATCCCCCGGGTGCTTGGCGCAATGGCTTAGCGTGTTCGGCTTCGATGCCCACAACCGTACCGAAAGGTTGCAGGTTCGAGTCCTGCAGTGCTCATGTTTTTGAAACTCCGCGTTGCTGCAAGCCCACTCCCTCATTTTTGCGATGTTCAACTTGGAACATCGGCTTTCGAAAACATCTATACTTGCTCCCACTTCAACTTTCGATTTTACCTGACCACTTGATCACCTGCGTCCCTAGAAAATGAGGAGCTACCGGAGGCCATATCCTAACACCCATCCTGCCTCCCGCTGGGACCCAGGGAAACTCCTTGTAGCCGTTACGATTCAAGGCACTAATTCGATCCGGACGATTGTGATTGCGGCGATTGGTAAGCTATCGGGCGGGCTTGATAGTGTCCATCCCCCGACCATGGTGCAGTTCTGTACTGGATGTGAAGAAAAGCAATGGGACGAGACCCAAATTCTATTCACTGGATGAAAATTTCGAGTTTTTCACTGAAAAAATTGATGAAAAACTTTAATTATTTTTCACACTCTTTACACGGAAAAATTGATGAAAATTACAAATAGTTTTTCAGTACTTTTGAGACTGAGAATTATGCTGCTCAAGTTGGTGCTTATGGCGGTCACTTGCCACCTTTAATAATCCTGTACATATATATGCTTTTCCGTGTTATTTCAGCCCTTTTCTGTTCATAAAGTCATATTTTGAGCATCCTGCTGTCATCCTGAAAACCTTTGGATCCTTCTCAAAGAATAACAGTTCGTAAGGGCATTCCGACACTTCAATGGGTGCAGAATGGAAACATTGAAGAACCCTAATTTGCAAATTTAGTGGCGGAAAATCTTCATCTGGACCCGGAATCAACTTTTTCCAGGCCCGGGACTTGTTTTCGACCCGGGATATTTTTTTTTGGGAGACCCTGGTAACATTTCCTTCATCCAGCGGAACATATTTTGTTCCCGGGAAACAGTTGGACTTGTGGCTATGCTAACCCTAACCGGATGGGGCGAATCATCGATTGCTCTTGGCAGGCTCCTGCACAAGCATGTCTGTTTCATGCCATCTCCCTAGGTGTCGGCTTTCAAGACAGATTCGCCCGTGCTCTCATTGCCTAATCAAACTTACTTTGTTCTCAATTTGTTCTTGTAAAATCCCTGCCTGTAGTACTTGCAGCAGACGTGCGCATACGCTGTCGTGCACCCACGCTGCCCAATGAGCACCCCGCGCTTGAAAGCCTTTGTGTGCACGATTGCTGCCGAGTTGCCCATCCACCGTGTGGGAAGCAGCTGGCAGCAACTCCTATCAGCTTGTGTGACATCTGCCAAATGGGTAACCCTATGTTAAGGTTAAGGTCAACCACAGAATGTTACGGGTGAGATAAAATGTTTCTCGGCTAGGTAAAAAGTTTCGGGCCAAAAAAGTTTCGGAAATGTATGAGAAGATATCACGGACAAAGTAAATTTGTTCTCAAGGAAGAAAGTATGTTTTCAGGCCTCTGATATTTCCATCCAAAATAAAATGTTATCCCAGGACTAGATATGTGCACCGTGTGCACTCGGTGGTAAATTCAAGGGAACTACTACAATGTACGATTACCAAGAGGATATACCCGATGTTACTCGATTCTGGAAAACACACCAAAATAACACGGAAAAGTGTATATATGTACAGGATTATTAAAGGTGGCAAGTGACCGCCATAGGTGCTTTATTCACCCCAACTTTATATTACAACTTTCATTAAAACTATCTTTTGGAGGGTCATATATATATATATATTGTGTTCAAAAAAAAAAAAAAAAAGTGTTGTCGCCACCCCAACTATTTATTTCAGCGGTTCTTGAAAAATATATTTCGGGAGGCCGACCCCAAGGGGTCGGGGGTGACCAACATCTGATGTTCGGGGGAGCGGCATCCGGTGACCAAGGGAGGCTTGTCGTTGCGAGCGCCGTGTTCGAAGATGTTGGTAAACATTGTTTGGTGTTGTTATGCAGAAACATCTTTACCTCACCACTTCTCTTCCGCCTAACTTGGCTTCTCCTCTCGCTTGAGACCGTTTATGTAGGCTCTGGCCATCACCACGGTGCTGGCCGCGATATCCTCTAGACTGCTTCCCTGCTACGCTCCACTGTTTTGACGAATAGGAACGCCGACGTACCAAGAGTGCCTGTGCATGACATTGGAGTGCGTTTGACATCACCATCGTGCCGCGAGCGGAGGGGTAATTGGGTGAGTGTCTTTCATTTCTATATGTCAGCTTTAAACTGACCTAATGAAATACAGCTTCAATGATAAACTCGTGCACATCGGGCTTCGGGACTGTTATCAAGATCACTGAGCTCCACTACTTCCGGACAATAAACAAAAAGACCCAGAACTCACGACGTCTCAAGGCACATGTACAGCAGGAGGCTTTTAATGCACGAGGTAATACACTGACACGGTTTCCGAGTTTGCTGTTCTTACATCTGCCTCGGCCAGTACGGCTACTACGGGAGGAGCTGCAGCGTTTGCATGAACCGGGGAGCTATGCGGGAGAGGTTGTTCAAATTATGGGTGAATGTCCTCATCAAGGTGCAGCTAGAAGGGAAATACAGTACGCGCTCTGCACTCTATTTTTCCGCCATGTACTCAATTCATTATGCGCTAGTCATTGACTTGTCCCAGATCGACGTCGCGTCGCTGACCTCGACACTCTGCACCGCCTGCTGCTCCGACTGTCCGCTAACTGAGACCTACTACAGACAATCTCAACTCGGCGCTGCTGCGCCCACGGTAGATAGACCAAAATATTGAGTTGCGCCGCCGGGACCCAAAGCATATCCATTCATTTTCTGCATGCACTCTCGCCAGGTGCACCCCGCTCTCCAACAACTTTCTTACTTCCTCAATTAATTTCAGATATCATTACAATGCGGCATCAACCTGGGAGCGCTGGCAGAGAAGATGGGCGAAGTGGGCACATGTGCGGGGTGGGCGGAGGGCATGCAGATCAGGTGATGCAGGCACTAGCACAGAGAATGTAGGTCATGGGTGCGGTGGCGTGCCCTGGTTTCGGTGGCCACCGCAATCCCTGGAGCGTCACGGGTGATCTAGGGGATGTCGGGTGCTATTTGTGAGGCTGTTGGGTTGCAGCGTGGTTGCAGCGAGGCCGAGGGAAGGGTGGGTTCGGATGGTACGCGGTAGGCTGGTAGCAGAATAAATGCATTTTAAAATGATTGTTTGGACAAGCCACAAGCTCGAGCGAGAATGGTTGGGAGACAAGCAGTAGGTAACGGTACAGTGGATAAGTAGCCACTACATCCAAGAAAATGTGTCGTAAGTAACAAAGATCAAGAAGGCCGACAATATACGTGGAACTCCTTGACAGCCTTCACCGCCTCGTCCATAATGGACTGCTCCTCAAAGAAATTGGTGGTCCACTTGATGACCATGTTGTCTTGACATTTCTGAGACATGCCGTGGAAGGTTGTGCGATGCAAAAATTCGCCTATCGCATCCAACGCCATGGGGTTTGTCGGATGAAGCACCTTCCTTCCCACCAAATTCCACCAAAGCTCTTTCACGCTCCGCTCACAACTCCCATGATTAGCCTGGGAACAATCCCCATAGTTGAGCTCATCTGCAGAAGTGAGCTTTGGCGCGACATGCGCGACATACAAACGTTCTGTGTCGATTGCACACTTGGCTTGATAAAGTATGTTCAACGTGATGGGTCCAAGCGCAAGAGCATCGTCACTCCCCAAGGTCCCGACAATGGGGACAAGTTTCCTGACCGCAGCCTCAACCCAGTCATGTATCGCAAACCGCTTCGCAATTTGAAGGATTCGGACAGACGACAGGTCAAGCCCAACGAGAACAGATTTGGCATACGCCGTGGCTTCGCCGATGTCCCAGATACAACCCACAGTGAGCAAGTTGACACAGAACTGCTCCTGACGGGCGCGTGGAAGCTCTTCGACAGGGACAAGAGCCCTAAGAGGTGATTTGTTTATGTCATTAACTTTATTAAGGAAGAGATGTGTGCTGCACATACGATTTGAAGAAATACGACATAAAGTCATCGAGCTGGGCAGAAGTAATACCCGAGAGGATAATTGGATTTTCCTCAGACCCCTCGACGTGGCCATCCTTGTTCATGACACCCGAGAACGGGATATCAAAAATAGCTGTCAGTGGAGGCGACATCATCTTCAGGAGAGCGAGCGGGAAACGGTATGTGGTTCCTTCAACCTTTTTTTATACGAGTCAGGTCTTCGAGAGATGGACTTCAGACATAATTGACTCACTGCATAGACAAAAGTGCGGGACTCTGTCTCCCAGTACTTGGCATGCCGAGTGTAGGTGGATATTGCACTGTCTGCCATGTTGCAAAGTAATAAACGATATGGTACGAGTCAGAGAGGAAAAAACACTGGTTAAACTTCTCGCTTAGGAATTCAACACCCGCTCATCAACACAGACGTGATCTATACGGACAAAGAGCGGACCACGACCTCAACCCTCCTCTCCCATGGCATTTCCTCCTCTTCCAGCACGGGTAGGGGGGGTGCCATGGTCAGGGAACGTTGATCATGCCTACCAGATAATATCCACCACATTCAATCTAGCATCCCAAGTCTTGACGCAAGAAGCAGACCCAGGTCGTCTCCGTTTTCATGCCAATGCCCTCACTGCAGATGTCATACCTCTCCTATCGCAAATGGAAATTCATGCGCAGGAAGAAGCTATTCCACTGCCTTGGCTTCATGCCTGTGCTAGGCTGACTGCAGAACTCACCATCGAGTTATTTACAGCCAGTGACGCATCGTCCACAAGGTAAGCTCTCTTTCTTAGAAATACAGTGTGTAGGGACTAATCTAGTCGGTCAGGGAGGATACCGGAATTGGCTCCATTAATCCAGTTACTACAGGGAAAAGCGGCAAGCGAGGACGACCACGCAAGGAGATCAACATTGAATTCCTACAGGACGCCATGTCCAGTCAGCGCAGAATCTCCATAACAACACTTGCAAAAACCTTGGGCATTGATCGTCATGTCCTGTCCAGACGCCTTAAGGAAGCAGGCATCTCCACCAAGTTCTCTGCGCTC